AAAAAATCATAAGAATCGGTCGAGCCGTTTCGGAGGAGTATGGGAACGAACATTGTGACACGAAAATTTTATAATTTATATTAGATTTATTAATTTTTGTTAATTTCACATAATCTTTATCATCATTAACACCTATCTTAAATTTAAGAAGCAATCCCTTCCAAGATCGACTAAAAAATACCTTGCAATTTTCGGGTGTTATTTTAAGATTTGAGGATAAACAATTAACAAGGCGCGGAACAATATATTATAGGGTTGTCCATTCTCGTTCTCGTCCGAATTTATTTTATACTAGGCGGCGACATTGCTCGAACTAGGTCACTTCATGGTAACACTTTTGTTTATTGGTTAGAAATGTCATTGGATACAATGAGCGCATAAAATCACGCCACAGCAAATGACCTTATATCAACTTACTCCACAGACCACTAAACACAATCCGGAGAGAAATTGAGACAAATCACACCTTTTAAACTAGACTGCGGTGCTATTTAACCTTAGTTTAGTTCAAAAGTTTTCCAAGGAAACTTCTTTAATGGATAAACGGTTCTTGCTTATGCTATATCCTCCTTCGCTAGGGGGTGTTTAGGTCCGTTTGGCGTATGATCCCTTCGGGTGATGTGTTGTTTCGCACCCTGCTAATACAGGGCGGCACGGGTGCGGTCAATTTTAGCCTTTGATGAGGGCTGCGGCGCGCGACGTAACAGAGGACTCGCAGAGCGCAGCCGTCTTGATTTGTGTTTGTGAGGACCGAGGGGCGACGCTCGACTCGATCCTGGGGTCCGGGGGTTTGGCCCTAGTGTCGCGATCGGTGGTATCGGGCAGACTCACGGCTCGCAGTCAGGCCCCGCCAGGTGAGACCCCAGCGAGGCGACCAGCGGTCGAAGCCGCGGTTTCTGCCCTGGTGTCTGGTCCGGTGGTTAAACGAAATTGTACTACATTACTTATAAAACCCAACTGATGTAATAAGCTGTGATTATCCGAAGAAATTAATACTCGCGTAAACCATAGACAATAATAATTATAAAATGTATACAAATTTTCTCTTAACGACAATATTATGTCACATTTGAATCGTCGTCAATGAAACCATAGAGGAGTTGCACCACAATCTCTCTCATGAAACTAAGCATGTGCTTCTTAAAATCAAGTTGACAGGCCGGAGAACCGTCAGGATTGCTGACGCTATCGCTTTGGGGTTATGGAGTACCAGCGCCGATCCGCTTAGCTAATAATACGTGTACACAAAGGGCTGATCTTATCGCAATTGTAAACATTAATTATCATGTTATTTGCATAGAACGGATACAGTTGAATTTGGTTAATTAATTTAATTAAGTGATTTGAATTGTTTCATTAATTAACATCATTTGGTAGCGATTTGGATCGCACTAAATTCTGTTGCGTATTTAAAAATTCAAACGCATTGTATTGTGTGCAATGTAATTATTAGGCTGTAATAATAATAAGAAATCGTAAATTACAAAGAAAGTGGTACATTTAGATCGATCAATTATACAAATCCGCACAATCAGTCGTATAAAATTGGCATGCAAATGTCATATTAATATTCGTAACATCATATAAGAAGAATATTAACATAATGTAATAATAAAAGGTTCAGTTATTTATGATTGTTGTCAAATTTATGGTCTAAATATTCGCCCACGCGCACCTAGCTTTTTAAAATTTAGGCAATTTCCCAATTTAAAAAAAATATAAAGGAGAGACGAATCATTTATAAAATTGTACAACTAATCATAACGACCTAATAATAAATACATAATATGCTTTGTGTTAAACTTTAATTCTACATAGACAAAAGAAATTTATCAACAACTAGTGTAGATTAATCTTAAGACAAATACAGAAAATGTAGAAAGAAATCTGACACAACAATAATTTGTCTTGACACATGACTTCATAATGACAATTCATATTTTCACAGTAAAATTAGTCCTGTCCGTCAGCTTTCAAAGTAAGCCCGTGATCTCATTTCGGCGCAGAACTTGATTTATCGGCAGATTACAGTCAAAATGACGCAAGCGACCACCATACCGTGACAGCTCCACTCCTTGATACTTTAACCTATTTTTATGATCTGAATTCCAATGGGATGGACCTTGCGATCACGAGTGAGTATTGACACATATTAATTGATTTATTATGTGTCTGTTTTAGTGTTCAGTTTATGTATTAATTGTCTGTATTGATTGCTTTTGTTTCCGGTAAATATCAAAAGCTAATTATGCAATTGTCTATGAATAATCCAGTGGCGCTTAAACACTTTATTGTTCTCTTCATTTGTTTCATTCATATTTATTCATTATATTTAGTTGTCTTCAAATAAGTATAAGTGCAGGCGTTTTATCAAGACTTTCGAACGCGCATGATATATGAGTAAAATTGCAAAACAGTTTCCAATTGGAGTTTAAATACACGATACCAAATATATATATAAAATATCAATTTTTATGTTGCAACCCCGTCACTGTGGGATTATAATAATATATACATAGCGCGCTTTTTTAACGAATCTTTTGTACCTATATGAAATTTGTATTTATTATTTTTCAACAGAATGCGACCCCTTTTCAAAACAAACTCGACTCCCCGACTTGAGAAACGATGGGCTAGGCTGGAAACTCGAAATTATCTGTGGAATATTTTCCTTATAGAAACAAAACACTATCGACAAAAAAAGTTCAAACCAAATCAGTGTCACAGTGTCGTAATACTTCATGACAAATTTTATTACACCATTTCAATCGTGTCTGAGTTACAAATGCTTTTGAGAGGGAAGTTTTTCAAACGATAATAATCTACTTAAAGGTGTTTAATGATAGATTACTATTATAATGTATGCCGTTAACAGTAGGAGGGCACTTATTTATTCAAAGGACAGCCCTTTCCGATCATATCGCTTGTTTCGTATTCAAACTGTCATTTATCGGCGATATAAAGAACACGAATGATTGTGACGGTAATGATAATTGCAAACTTAGATTATGACTAATGCGTTCATGGAGTTTTATACGGCCGTATCTTTGCCGAGTTATGCATATTCAGTAAGTCTGACAATCGGCTACTATCTATCTATTAAACCCCTAAGTGACAATGGGTGTCAAAATACATACAACCCCTAATTTTCACCCCTCTACGGTCAACCCCAATTTTTTATTGGTTAATTAAAATCTTATGGCTTGAACTCAGGTTATATAGAGAAAAATTCCAGAAAACCGAACAGTCTGGGGTACCGTAGCAAAATGTTCCATGTTGTGTACTAAAAAGGTATGCTAAGTAAAATCACATTAAGGAGTAACGTTCGCGGGGGCGGCTAGTTTATATATAAAAATGAATTGATGTTCGTTTGTTGCGCTAAAACTCGAAAACTGCTGGACCGATTTGGCTAATTATGATCTTAAAATATTTGTCTGGAAATTCAGGGAAGGTTTTAACGGTAGGACACATAAATAATAAGTGAAGGAAAATACTAAAAACGATAATTGAACTTTCCAATAAAAAACTTTTCCTTGGAAATATTTGATGTCTTTTTAGATACGAAGTTCACCGGGTCATCTAGTAAAGAATAAAAATCTATAAAAACGGCTCTCTTATAGAAACTTCTAAAAACCTGACGTATGTAAGATTTAGAAACGTGATAATTCTGTTTGTTTAATTGATAATGTTAGCGCAAATGTCTGAAATATAAAAATCTCGGATGGTTTCATCTCCCGGAAACATTGTCAAATATCATCTTAAATACAGAGCAATGGCCCTAAAATCTACATTTGAATGAAAAAAAACATCTGTTTATCCCCGTGTAGAGTCAGCACGGTTTGTTTGTAATATAAATCGTTTCTTTGATGAGTAAAGGGATACTTTACCACGTACAACCTTCAAACGACTTAATCTTTTAATAAGATTAGTTTCTTGTGTATGAAGGACCTTTATATTAATCTGTCTTAAAACCATAACTAAAAACAAAAGAACGAGCGACTCGTAGTATAGACTTATGTTCATTATATCATAAGTGTATTTAGAATGAGATTCAAAAACGAAACTTAGCGTGAACTAAGACTTCCGTATGTCAAAATCAAATACATTTTTGACGTAAGGAGGTCATACTTAATCTTATTAAGAGCAGTGTTAATATTCCAATTATTCCATGTAACAATCTCCATCTTCTTTTCGAAAAGAGATAAGCTCTTACAAAAGTACTTTATGAGGTAATAACGATCAAAGATGAGAGAACGTTTATTACATCATTAGTTTCACTGTAACCAAACTAAAAACAAAGTTAAATAAAGTATTTTCATCCGCATTTTCGCGCTCTTTACAACACTGTTGTTACATGAATATACACCACAATGGTTTTTATACCATTTCATATGACTGCTGTATCTGTATTCTGCGAAATAAACAACTTAACAAAGTGCTAGGATTTTTAACATTCGTATATGTCAAACTTTAAATAGAAAATAAAATATAAGTGAAAGTTAGTTTAATTTTGAGTGACATTTAACGTAGTCAGTTATTCTTGAAGATCAAACATCGTATTACTGAGTATATTTAACACTGAAGAAATAAAAAAATCAGTGGTGCTACAACCTTTTTAGGTCTGCGCCTCCGATTTTTGTATCTGTTTCATGATCGTCAATCTAACAGGCAACGCGATCAGACTCTTGTGCATGTTACACGCCGTCGACTTTTTGGGTCTAAGGCAAGCTCCTCACGATGTTTTTCCTTCACCGTTCAAACGAAAATGTGCACACCAAAGAAAGTTACGGGACAACTTTGAAAACGACATCTCTTAGAGCTCACTCTAAGGTAAGAAGTATAGATGAAAGACAAAACATGTAAATAAAAAATAAATTGTATATTTTGAAACATATACATTAAAATGGCAAAACATAACACTTATATTAAATAACAATAAATTAGCAATAAATTAAGGTAATCATATCAAAGAACAATATTTGTTATCTCCTAATAAATCACTAGTTCACGCTGTCGTCTTCATCATCATGGAAAATCAACTTCTTTCCTCGTAATCCATCACGAGTAGCTCTTTTTCTCGGCGTACACCTCTTTTCGGAGTTAACAGTTGGTGCCGGAGAAAGCACTAGATTTGGAGAAAACATTTTCGCCGGAAAAGCCTCAAGAATCGGGGTTGACGTCATCAGACGCTTAACTTTACTTAGCTTCCGTTTCTTCGGTATAGAATTATACTTTTCAATTCGTTCCCCAAGAAGTTCACAAATCTGTGACAGGCTGACTTCCATTTTTGAATTTGTTGTTATACGTTCAACTCAACAATTTGTAATGAAGAAGAAATGCACTTGTTTGACATTTTATAGTAAATTTAATTACTTTATTAATTGTACTTCTAATTAATTAATAAACAAATCAGTTAATTGAGTCAATATAGGTAATTACGTGATTAGTAATGAGAGTAAATACCGTGTGACTTGTTTTGGATATTTTTCGTAAACATTGTCAAAGTAGTAAACAAGAAAACAATATTGTTTACGATGTTTGACAGTGACCTCTGCTACAATGTTTGTTATTTACGCGAGTAAATTTAAGTGCCTAGCCAAGGCCTTTGTGGTCAGGTTGTCAAATTACTAGGATTTAAAATAGAAAGGTGTGCGGACAGTCGTGGGTATTCTTAACGCTTAAATAATAAAAACGATTATGGCTGTTCTATGTATGTATAAGTTCTAAAACAACTGCTCTGCTTGAAAAACACAAAATATATGATGTTTTAAATTTTACAAACATATTAGAAGCCAGGAAAAAAACAGAGGAAATACCGAATAAAAACTAAAACTAAATAGATACTTAGTATTGTCTTTGATTTACATAACCTTTACACATTTAAAGAAAAAACTGTTTGACCGGATTTAAGTTATGTATTATTATAAATTTACAACTATTTAACATAATTTTAAATTTATCCGACGTTTCGCGTGCTTTACAGCGTGCGTGGACACGGTGTTAAATAGTTGTAAATTTATAATAATACATAACTTCACTCCGGTCAAACAGTTTTTTCTTTAAATAGATACTTAAAAACTTAAACCTTTTTACTATTCAATCAGCACATTAAACAAAATTACGGTAAGTATGATGATTGTTAACATATTATGTAGGTATGTATTAATATTTTAATGAATGTAAAGTAAAAAGTAAAAGTAAAAAAATCATTTAATCATATAGGTAACATAATTTACACTTATGACTCGTCAGTAAAGAAATACATATTAATGCTTCTAATTTTACATTTACTGCCAGTTCTCAAATCAAGGGCGTTAAACGAGAGAAAGAGCTGGCAATAAACTCTCCGCCACTCTTTTTAATCGCCATTTTTTTGTTTTACAAAATGTTTGTAAGGAGGAATGTTTAAATGATATTATTTAAATTGTAAGAGCGAGATAGCCTATACACAGGAGCATTACAGTAGATAAACGAGCCGTCGCGTCGTAACGTTCTTTTTTTTTTTTGTATGCAGCTAACATAAATTATATACAACAAAAACTATACTTAACATATAGCCGATGATGGAATACATATAACGTTATATCTAATACGTAATATCTAATTCGGCTGTGCTGTGATGGTGTGAAAGTGAGTTAAATGATAGTATGTTCGTGAGTTTAAATTTTATGATTAAAGTTAAATATTTTATACAAATAAATCAGTCCAATAAAGTATGAGTTTTAGGATATCTAACTCGAAATAGTCCAAGAGAATGTTTTTGTCTCAATTAAATATTTATTTATTCTTAACTAAAAGCGTTCCTCTAATGTATTAATATCTAATTAATTAATTTAGAGCCCAATCCTACAAATAATTCAACCTACTAAACTATAATTACTTAATATACTCGTTACATTATAACAATTACACACGTATTACACAAAATCCCAAGCCATGTAGAACGGACGAATGAGAAGAGATTAAAAAGTAGGATATGGGAACCGTGTATGGTGAAGTCGGGATCTGTAGGCCATGTTGTAGATACCTGGACCTAATCCAGGAGGGAAGGGACAAGTTAAAAGTACCCATAGCCGACAAGCATGCTTGCCACGACAGTGGATGAAGCAAGAGAGGTTTATCGGGACCATAGCAAGTGGAGGTCCGTGATCTCTGCCTACCCCTTCGGGAAATAGGCTATAAAATTAACTAAGTCCCCAACTGAGCAGCACGCATAAAATCAAATTATTATGTACCATATGCCAATAGAAAAGACACCCACTTTTTTACATATACCTGTTCGGAGTAATACCTGCAGCTGAGTTTCATCATCGTACATCGAGGCACAATTCAAAATTCCACCTATATCACCTCGACGTCCATCGTTAAACAACAGCATCTTTGCACCCACTATGTAGAACCAGCTGCTCACTGAAGTATTTCCGAATTCGTCGAAAATTCGACTTAGGGTTCTTAGTACCAATTCTTAAAACGCAGGCACTCTCAATCTCACACCGACGTGCCCTGAGGTGGGAGATTGAGAGTGTCCATGTATCGCTTAACATTAGATGAGCCTCCTGCCCGTCTGTCCCCTGTTCTATACTAACGTTTATCGCTTTTCTATAAATACAAAATCTAGACGAACACTGGTAATCAGAAAACCTATCACATTCAGCGATCCGTTTGTCCAAACGTGCTATTCGCGAATAGTTATGACTAAGTTCGAGATAAGGAATAAATCGTGACCACTGTCTTCATAAATCATACCAGCTTCCTATTGTTAGCGATTCTCTAAACAGGTGAGCCCGCATTTGTGTTAATCTGATTCAAAACACACAGGTACCGTTTGCCTAGTTTAAATACAAGGTTTAGAGGCAGGTCATGGAGCAAAGGCTTTTATGTGTTTGTTCGTAATAGATATTTAATTATTGTTGACACGGCCAATCGCCATGTTTGATTTCACTATTTTGTTTTTGTTGTTTTCGCTTGCTTTTGTTTTTATTAATTATACCCTCAATATTATTATTTTTTCGGTGTGTTGTGAGCTTTTTTTGATTGTACTGAAAGGAAACTATTATCTATCTATCTATTATTATTTTATTCTTATTATCAGTCCAACCTTCGTCTTTCCTGTAGTTTCCTGTATTAAATGTTTTCTTATTATACAACTGAGAAATGTGTGATTTCGTCTGTTTCATTTTAATCCAGAATATATGGAGATTTAAAAAATATAATTTGACTGCCACCGAACCGTTTTGTGTGTACCCACACAAAACGTGTAGTAGTGGTAATTTTTGTATACCAGCATTTATTTATTGAGAAACAATATTATCCTTATGCTTTAACAAATAATTGTTCGGACTTGTCTAGAAATTATGAAAACGTATATAAATATGTCTAAAAAAAGTTTCAATAAAGGTTTTTTATGTAGATCTGTTGCTATTTAGGAAAAATAATGATCAATTTAAACTTTGAATTATATTATGTTATTATTATTATGTTTATTTTAGTAAACGGTTGGCCTAGTGGTTTCAGCGTGCGACTCTCATCTCTGAGGTCGTAGGTTCTATGTACCAATGGACGTTCTTTATATGTGCGCATTAAACATTCGCTCGAACGGTAAAGGAAAACATCGTGAGGAAACCAGCTTGGCTAAAACCCAAAAAGTCGACGGCGTGTGTCAGGTACAAGCTGATCACGTACTTGCCTATTAGATTGACAAATGATCATGAAACAGGTTCAGATCAACCTTAGAAGTTTGTAGCGCCACTGATTTATTAATATATTATTTTAGACAATAATTGTATAGGCGTGTTAACATAGAAAATCGTTAGTTATTTTTCTAAACTCACCTTTACAGAATTACCATTAAATTATGTTTAAAAACAAACCTATTACTTACTATTTAAAAACATTTCAATCAAATCTGGTGTACTCTAAAATTAACTTATTATCTTTTGAATCTCGGAAGTGAAGATTTAGGTCTGTATGAGCCATATGCTCAGATGAACGGGATATCTCATATCCTTGTCATAATGGAATCAGGGAATTAGATGGTACTTGTAATGAGGAAATGTTTTAACTTTCATATCAAACCTAATATAAATATTCTTTTAATAGTAAATTTAATTGATAAAGAATTAGTATCTTTTATCTTTCGATTTTTTTTTTTGTGAAACTTATGCTTACATTAATTGTCACACATTTTAGATGTGAGATTTTTTGTAAAATAATTAGTAATTTTAGTACTGTGTGTGATGTCATAAGCTTAATATCTAAATAAATAAATAAAAAGTATCAAAAGTTTAATTCGGTTTATTATGATTGTTGTATTAGACTTTAGGCGTAGAAATCTCACCCGTGAGTTCGAACAACTTTATAACATTTGTTTATACTTTACAAGGTCTTTTTTTATACTTTTTGAAGTGAAACTTCTTGAGGCGCATGAGGGTAAATTTTTACGGAAACGTCACGAAGATGTGCAGCGTTTTTGTCGAAGAAAAGGGAGAGAGCGATTGAGACCGATTGAGAGAGAGTGAGAAGGGCGAATTACCTTATAGAAATTCTATTTTTAAAATTAAAATTTCGTCAAGAGACTATTTGATATATTAGTATTTTATATTTTATGTAAAATAATTTATTGAAATTTCAAATGACGAATTGTACATTAAAATGCCGCGTGTTTTTATTATCGAAGAAATGAATTTAAAAAATTAAATTTTCGACACTTTTAATATTATAATGACAATTAAATTCATTAAATTCCTAATATATCTTCCTTTTTCCCTCCAAGTCTCGGAAATTTTTAGATTTGTATAAATATGAACAAGAAATTAGTTTGCCAAAGAAGTTTCACTTCTGACATGTGTACCTACTTTGTGTACGCAGTTTTTTTTTGTACAGATTAATATTATTATCATCAGGCATTTATTATATAATCATAGTAAAGTGTTTCCACAGACTCAACTGTACAAACACGACGGTTCTGTTATGATATATTAGTGTGTTTATAGTGACAAATTATTGTTCCAGAACCATCAGTACTGCACTTAGTGATGCAGACATTGCAACCACAGAAGTTGGAATACCGGTAAGTGACTAGGAATATTGCGTTAAAAAAGCAGTTAAAATACTGATAAAATATTAATATATATTGTTATGACACAAATATTTAGTATTGGTTTACTTAAATTCCTACCCTGAACTTTGCCTGGTAAGGCAGTATGTTGTGCAAAGATTCAATTTTGTGTGTGTATAGTATTTAAGGAATTTGTTTATATTGTTTCTTCTATATAACCAATAACCTATCTATATATATATATATGCATATTCTCTTTGTAACAGAGCTAAGGCTGAATTTAGTCTCACGCTCATAGATCAGCGCGTAGTTCGTCAGCGCTGACGATCACCGTTCGTTTTAGTTCGTACTGACCGCCTTACTGTACAGACGAAGACCAAAATGCGGAGTGTATTAGTTATTGCTGCTTTGTACTACCTATCTCAAAAAAATAAAAACCGGCGACGACGAAGACTCCTTGTTCATCCATTGATTGAGCAGAGAGCCGTTGCAGGAGACTTTGTCTGGTTATATCGCACTTTGAGGGCTGACGAAAGTAAATTCTTTGATTACTTTCGAATGTCAACAAGATATTTTTGTAGAGTGGATCGGATGCATCCCACAATTTCTTCCTCAGGCGTACCTCGTCGATAACTCGACCTGTATGTACCTGACCGTTCCGTTCGACACTACAACGCTCTCTGAAAGCAGAGGCGCTCTAGCGATCGTCAGCGTGCGCGCTTATAGCTACGCGTCATTTAAAAACGCTTTCTAGAAGTTCATATATCTCGACCATCAGCGCCGACGGTGCGCGTGCGGTCGGCGTGACACTAAATTCAGCCTAAGCGTAAAATAACAAACTGTGTTTTTACTGATGACTGCTATTAACTGCACAACTGATTTAAATAACAATTGTAAGACTTTACTTCTGAATCTACCGTGTCTAAAATATTACCGTACAACGTGTTTGCGGCAAATATTTATTCAAAACATGTTGGTTTTATTATTGTTAAGTGCTTAAGATTTGTTCTAATATTTGTCAAAGAGCAGTGTTGGCTTAGTGGCTTAAGCTTATGACTCTCAAACCTGAGGTAAGAGTGAGGAGCGCGTTCGAATCACGACACTAACCAAGCATAGACAATTTGTGGGTCATATGTGTATAAAGTAATAATTACCAAATAAGAAATACAAAGAACGAGAAGAAAATGCAAAATGTCATTAAACGCATTTAATTTTAAAATATATTAATTATAAATTAAGAAACGCTTGTTTAATCTGTGACTAATTGACAATAGCATTGACAAATGACAGCTATTAAATGTCATAATCTAACATTGTTTAACAAACTGTTTCGTGGTCAGTCAAACATTGCATTAAAAATTGAATAATTCATGAATACAAGGGCCCTTTTGGCCAGTGTCGGCGTCGTTCAAACGTTGCCTAATGTCACATGTTTCATTTGCCAAACGGAATTCTCACTTACGTCAATGACCTATCAATATTCCCAATCAATATAAATGATATGAACGACCGCGCGTTCTTACTATTTTTATTAAAGAATAAGTGGACATTTTTTGTGTTTAAATTTTCTGTACCTATTTCCAATGAACTTCTTTTCTCTTATTTCTGTTACGTTTCTTATTTTAATGTATTTATCGTAAAAAATATTTATAACTGTAACTTATGCATTAAACAGCTCATAAGGATTATAATTTAATGTTTGTTTCGAATTAAAAAACGCACTTTTGGTTGATAAAGATTTTTTATTAGAAACAAAACAGTTTAATGTGTAAGATTTGGGAACCCTTTTCAGTAAAAATACCTGTGTTAGGATTCCCAGCTCTTCCATAACCATATTTTTCTAATACATTCATTCATTTGGAGTAATTTACTGTCGATAATGTGAGCTATAAACAGTTTGAAAGCAAGATTCTTATTTTTTTTTTATATGATTGGACAATTCACACCAATTGACCTAGTCCCATGCTAAGCTAGTGAAGCTTGTGTTATGGGTACTAGGCAACGGATATACATACATATTATAGATAGATAGACATATAAATACATATTTAAACATCCAAGACCTAAGTACAACACCAAATGCTCATCACATCGATGTTTGTCTCAGCCGGGGATCGAACCCGGGACCCATGGATTCGCAGTCAGGGGTACTAACCACTAGACCGATCCGAGAGCCGAGAGATTCTGACATGGCATTCAATGTGATTCCAGCAACGTGATGCAACTCGAACGAATCAAACGAGTATGTATGCTTGGAGTTCCTGGGGTGCATGGAGTAGTTGCTCCAGGACATGTGGAGGTGGAGTCGCTGTTCAGGAACGACAATGTTTACCACGAGATCCCACCAGGTATGTATTTATTTTAATAATAATAATTTATTTTTTGCAAGAATATGGTACAAAAATGTTAAGGTGGTACAATCGTAAATCGTTCGCATATTTTGCCACACACAATGGCGCGCAAATTTGTCGTAGGGAATTTTAGACTATTAATCAAAGTCAATTCTTATGTTATCTGCATCGTACATATCATACTTTATTAAATTTATATCAACTACAGTGTCTCACGCAAAAAATCATTTCTTGAATAGTACATTATTCCAAAAGTAAATACACTTAGGGTCTGTTTCACAATGTATGGATAAAGTACCAAATAGCTATGCAATACATAAATTAATTGGAAGAAAAATTGTGCTATTTGACATTTCATCGGACTCATAACTTATGATGGACTTTATGTGACGCATAGCGCTATCTGACAGTCGTGAAACGCAACAATAGTGTTTATCCTACCAATAAGTAATAAATAGCTAATTTGGAACTTATGTAGAACTTATCCGTACATTGTGAAACAGACCCTAAAGATCTTAATTAAAAACGATGTTAAATTTAGTTTAAAAATTAAGAGGTTACAATCTAATAAGTACTTCATTATACCACACATTATCTTCAAATCTTGCGTACGTTGTTTCTTTATTACTTTCGTCTCATTAAAAGATTATCTATTAAGACTAGTAATTTTGACTGTTGTAATAACATTATTAGAATCTTCACACATTCGTTTTCCCAATGATGAAGTATTTTTATATCGAAATAGTTCATTACGAGGTATATATATACATATATATATATATATATATATATATATATTTATTAATATAAAATAATATACATTGAAATAAATAACTACCCTTAACATAAACTAAAAAATATTATTAAAAGGAGTCCCTTTAGGCAAGTAGCCGAAGATACTGGCAGCGTTCCCCCTTTGAATCGCAAGACTAATTCTTTGTCCGAGGTAGCTGCCAGATCTTTGGTCTCCTGTGATGTCGACTAACCTTTTTGATATTTCTTTAAAAAGCCTTAAAGCGCTAGGACCCCAATGACCATGGGTCTCGACACCGAATGGGACAAAATCATATTCTGAGCCGAGACCCCTGTATTTCGATCTCTTGCAATACCACTCGGCTCAAGTAGACTTGGCACGTTGACGGTGGCAAGCGAACGGCATATGATATCGTTAAGTGCGGCATGTCTCGAGAAGCGGCCCGCACTTTTTTGGCATGACAGGCCGTGATGTCCTAACTTGTCGACATCACTGCCACAGGGACATATATGAGGAGCGCAGACCGGAACCCCAAGCCGTAGACAGGTTGCGATTCGAAGCGTGTCAGGCTCAAGAAAAGTTCCTGTATTTGACGAAGGGTAAGCGTGAAGCCAGTAGCCGGCCTCATGCGTACCCACGGCCAAAAGCCTAGCACGCGCCGAACCTGTACTACAACTCAAAAGATCGTCAAAAGTCAATTTGCAGTGTATGTCATCCCAGCTCCTCTGTGAATATAGAGATAATGGAAAATTTTGACCTGGGCAGGCAATTAAGAAAGCGTTTCTAGCTTCTTCCAAGCCAGCAATCTCAAAGTTTGAAGGGGATGCCCTTAAAATTTTACTTATGAGATTTGCTGAACTATGGACAGAAGATAGAAAGGCTGGTAAAGCGACACTGGAAATTTTGCGAATCCCTAAACCACCATAACGGATGGGTAGGGAAAATATATAGGTATATATATATATGACGTGTGTCAAAATCTAACACAATTTTGACGTAAGTGAGATTTATCACTAAGTCTCGTTCCTAAATCTTACCTTTAGTATATACAGATTATAAAATTTAAGATATAAATGTCACATCACTTAAAATCTATATGAAATGTTATATGATAACATAAAGAATATATATATATACATATAATTCGGAATATCCGTTATTTTCTAATGTAAGCTCTTTTTGTCCAAGTTGTGCATATTATTCTCTCTATATCGTCTGCCCATCTCTTGCTCTTTCTTCCTCTTTTTCTTTTTCCATCTCGTGGTAGCCATTCAGTAAAAAAAATTGTCGTATATGACACATGGTAAGATTCATAAGTTGAACACCGAACCTTTATTGAAAGTAATTACAATGAAATAAAAAAAACCATACAAATTTGAAGTTGAAGTCATAGGTCCGCGAGCGCTCAAAGATAACTTTATAACTGTGGTGCGCGGACGCATCATTGATCATAGATCACAATGATATCTAATGATACGCTGGATCGATAAAAGGATCCGTGCCCACCGCGGGAGAGCCTACAGCGCTTTGGTCACTTCACATCGCTACTATTGGATCTCGTAGGAGGTAAAATCGAATCGAGAATGTGAATAATCGACTTCGTGAAGGTTAAAACATTAGAAGACAAACAAACGCAGGTGCTTTATGACACATGTTTGTATGAGCTGTTTAAATGTCGAACATAATACGGTAAAATTTGTTAATACAAAATTTTATTTTATTCAATTGTGAAAGATTACTTTACTACCGGTGGTTAAGGTGTTTTTAAATTGTACAGAATGTTTCTGAAACTCTTGTAACAAATATATACACTTAACCTACATAATAAAAATAATAATTATTAAAAATTAATAAATAGAAATTTAAAACAAATTTAAAAAGTATGTATGTATGCCCTGTGGTATAGTTTTGTTTGACCTTTGACGCTGGCAGCATTTCCTTTTATTATTGCGATACTTATTCATCGAGCGAGGAAAGAACCAGCTCTGGGGTCAACGGTAACTACCAGACGCCAACTTGAATCTTTTATTAGCGCCTGTGCACTTGAACCCCACGGCCCAAAGGTCTCTATTCCAAAGAGATATATGGATATGCTATTATCAAACGTTTAGATTTTTAATTTGTATGTAAGGTTGGCTACCCTAAATAAATAAAATAATAAAGTGTTCATGTATTGGTTCGAGTTTTAGTAGTTGAGGTAAATGTCCAACGAGTACAGCATGAGGGGCGACGGCGTGTCTTTGTAACGAAGACATCATAATTTACTAGTGTACTTTAATTTACCAAAAAAAAAAACTCAAATTCGTTGACACTTTAACCTTAACCACAAATGTGTATTTTTTTTAATTCTTTTTTTATTATTACACGACCAATGCCTATGAGGAAAGTTTAACAAAAATGGACTACAAATCGAACACATCTAGTGATTTTGCCTATGTATTTGATGTTTCTTGAAACCCTAATTAAGTTTGGTGGCGGTTTATGTATGGATATGATCAAATAAAACACTTTGTTTGAAACAACTGACTTTAATGGTTTAAAATACGAGCTTATTACTAACATTAAATTACGGGTAGTGACGCTGATAAAAACTAAATTGGCTTATCTAAGTTCACAAATATAAGTGTCATTTAGCACTTATGTTATTGGACATTATCGGAAATGAGGTTCTTAATATATAATTTATGAGTGTCTTTAAAACTAAAGGGCCCAATGTACGATGATTGTTTACATGTTGTTTACGCTTCTAATTACTACCTAAAATATTTATATGTAACTAGCGGATAGTTGTCCTGTCTTAACTATGAATATTGGTTTCAAATTGGTATAATTAATTAAAAAATATTTCAGAAACAAACTGTTTATTATTCTAATGCTTTATGTTATACAACATTCTTTGTTTGTTTTTCTGGCTCGCATATTATTATATTATCAATATAATAACTCCGATCGAAGCATTTATTTTAAACGATATTAAGTTTTCTTACATACTCTTTGACGATATTTGCAGCACGCATTCTGTCAATGTTATGTCAACCGCCATGAGGTTACATCAAGTTCGAATTGTATGGTGGTTAAGTATTCTTAAATTTTCTAATCTTCCGCGCAATTTTTTTCTTTTATAAGAACCTTCTCCTGACAATTACAAACACAACAAAAAACAATAAGACAACGTGACCACGCACGCTGTAAAAAATAAATAAAAAAAAATATGTTTATTATGGAACATAAGATACATGTATCACTTATTCCACGTCATTAAATTTGAAGGCATCCCTACTCATCGGCAAAGAAGACAGAGGGTGTACCGTGTAGGCCGAGAGAAAAAGCCGGCGTAAAAACTCTCGGTACTCTTTCAAAACAGCAAATCATCAAACAACACTTATTTAAAACAAATATCGCAAATTGATTAGAAGTAGCCTGTCTAGCACTAGTCCCAGGCCCTTTTATCAACTAGATAATCGTTGACTTTATAGTAAGCCTTTTTACACAGCTTTTCTTTAATACATTTCTTAAAGCACGCGAATCGTCGGATAAATTTAAAATTATGTTAAATAATTGTAAATTTATAATAATACATAACTTTAATCCGGTTAAAAAGCTTTTTCTTTAAATAAGACAAATCGGTCAAGCCGTTTTCATGTTATGTCGTGACTTGGCTAAATTTAAGTTACATAACTGCTTAAGCAAATTCTTAGTCAATATTTATTATCTGGAATATTGTATTATTTGCCTGGGTAAATTAATTTTAAACCATCAAAATATTTAAACGCACGAACCTAACGTGAGGATTGAAATATTTTCTCCTGTTTAGAAATGTTTATAAGCTTTTACTTATTTCCAAAAAAGGAGCATTGATTTTAAGGTTCACTGAGGGTTCTTTGTAGGAGCATATTTGCAATACCATGGACTGCAAAAATAACCGATAAGTCCATTCTCAACCAACTAAAGATTTTAAATTTATTTAAAAAAATAAATCTGCCTCGTAATTAGCTCTACTTATGTATATAAATTATTGTGACTCAGTTAACGTTTTGATTGGCTTTTAAATTTTTGTATATTATATTTATTTTTATTTTATTTATTTACGTGCTATTTTGAGTTTTTTTTGTTAATTATTTATGCACTTCTTTTACTCTACCCTCTGTAGGTGTTTATTTCTTATTGTTTCACATTGGGGTTTCCTGGAATAAATCGCTTGTTAGCGATAAGGCCGCCCTTTTTTATATGTATGTTTTTGTATAAGGTGAAGGTGAAGTGAAAGTGTAAATAAATAAATAAAGATTATCACAAGACTGTCAACGATAATTTATAAACGGGTACTTAGCTACATTGGACATAATATTACCAGCCTAGACCTGAACAGTCTCGACAAACTGGTAATGGTAGGGAGGAATGACGGCAGCAAAAGCCGGGGGCGTCCCTACGTTCCACCAAATTAATGAACGCGCTGAGACAAGTGGAAGATAGAGCTGTGTGGAGGCAGAAGTTGACGAAGGACGACGACAGGCCTGACTTTCAGTAATGAAGTCTACGGAGAAACAAAAGAGTCTTATGAGAGAGAGTTCAGAAAACTGAATGTCAAATTAAAATCAAAAATATAATGGATGACCACCACCAAAATCGGCAATCGGTTTTTCGGAAATGTGTCCCACTTTGCTATTGAAGCTCAAACTTATGATACTAAAACTAAGTTGGTCTAAGAATCCGCCAATCTATATATATATATAAAAAATGCTATGTTGGTTTGTGTACGCTTCAAAAACTCAAAAAGCATGATGTATAATCTGTATAAGCATCAAGGATTATTTTTATCATTTTTTTTTTGTTTTTTTTTTTCACCTTTTTCCAAAAGTATTGCAAAATTAAACTTATATGACATTGTATTCTTTGTTTCGTTTCTCATTTCACAACCATTCAATCACAATGTGCCACTGCGAAGCGTGGCTGGGTACAGCTAGTTTAATATAATAAACATTGTTCATCTTTCTCATCATTAATACAGACCTAACAGACGAACTCATGTATTAAAAACATCGCATTCAAATAGGCCCATTTCGCCACAACCCTTTGACCCTTGATGGTAATAACACAAGACGTACTTTGATGGACGGACAATAATTTGAGGGCTTTTGCTAATGTATGATTGTTATCTACTTGTTCCGTGTTTGTTTGGGCCATTAGATGAAATGCTGAGTCAGCGTGTATCGTTTTAAACATGAGACGACTAACAAGACGATGTGTGTATGGTTTCATCACGGGATGTAATTGTTGGGATATTTAGTGAAAGTTGTGTTCGAATAAAAGCAGTGAGGGCCAGCTTGAGCGTGTGACTGATTGCTGAAGGCGTAGGATCGAACCCCGGTTGTGGAACTTTTCTTTCTAAGTGAATTCCGCTAATACGCTGAAGGAAACCATTGTGAGCTAATCATGCCTTAAGCCCAAAGTCGACAAGACGATAGAAGACAGATCCCAAATGTAGGAAAAACATCATCATTGAAACAGATACAGAAATCTGAGACCAAACCCGTCTTTTTGGATCACATCATCATTTGTTAGCAGTTACTAATTTTTAACAAACATAATTTATAATTATTATTAAAAAAAAATAACTTAAATATTTTAAGTAATTTTTCTTAATTTTGACTAATTACCTTATTAGGTTAAAAAAAAATGTAGGTAAAAAAGTTTTCGGTTCATATGTTAAAATTTAATTTATTTTTTGTTCCGTTTGGGGTAAAGACTCTTGGACCGTGGGTTCCAAGTGCACAGGCGCTAATTAAAGATTCAAGTTGGCACCAGGGCTGGTGCTTTCCTAGCTCAAAGAATAAGTATCACAATACAGCGAGTACACTGCGAAAGAAAGCAAATTTTTTAACTATTATTATTATTACTGTGTAGGTTAAAATGATTGTAAATACTTTATATTTGTGTGTAGGAAATAAAGTTTGTTATGCATTTAAGCGATATGATGCAAACCGTATCTTACTTATATTCAACACAAAAACCATTACAAAAATACAATTATTGTGTAAGTTTTGACAATTGAAAATAGATTTTAACTATGCATTAGTAGCGGAACAAAACGTTTCCGACGTGATTTAATGATTATACAGGCGCGTGCGTCACTAAAACAATAAAATTAACAGTAAATGTGCACACCGGGCCAATAGAAATAATTATAATAACACAGTAAGCTATATTACCGCCGTATATATTTATATCAATGATACTTTTTTACCTTGGCGCCTAGCGTTACACGACAGAACGCTTTTCGAAGCCGACGACTGTCTTGTAACATTTTTTCGTAACTTTTTTTTTTTAGAGACTTCTTGCTGCGCACCACCTCTTAATAGAACCAGCTACGATTCCAGATATTTCCAAACAGTGAAGTCTAAAGGGCCTATGAGAAGAGCGTAACCTTAAAGGCCGGCAACGCACTTGCAAACCTCCTCGTGTTAACACTTATCTTTAAGTGTCGGCTCCAGTTCCATAAAAAAAATATTAAACCATTTCCATATACATTCTTCATTATTTACCTATATTTTACGTGTGTACCATAAACTACTAAACGTATTTTGATGAACCTTTGAAAAGTTGATACCTGATTTAAATCAGAAACATCGAATCACTTCGATATGACATTTACATACAATATAAACTTACGAAATCTGGCTTATACGAATAATAATAATATTCTACATTATATAAAATGAACGTTATCACTGCGCAAAGGAAGCAGATAATAGCGTACCTAGAAATATCTAGTAGGTACTTAAGTCAAAGATCTAGGGAAGAATTTTTTAATTGAGTTAACAATTCTAAGTTACCATTCCCACGGTTATATTTATCCATTGTTTATTACCACATCTTTTGCATCTTCTACCGCATTTACCATGGTGAGTGTTCAGAGGAGTTGTTCGGATTAATACCTGCAGCTGAGTTTCATCATCGGACGTCGAGGCAGAATACGAAATTCCACCCGTATCACCTCGACGTCCGTCGTACCACAACTTAGCGTTTTTAAAGGCAGTTTTTGCCGCGCACCACCACTATGCGAAACCAGCTGCGCACTAAAGTATTTTCGAACCAATTCGGGCTCTTGAGTGCGTTGCCGGCCTTTTAAGAATTCGTACGCTCTTTTTTTAAAGGACTCTAAGTCGAATTGGTTCGGAAATACTTCAGTGAGCAGCTGGTTCCACATAGTGGTTGTATTGTTTTTATTAGCATGGAATTAGAGTGTCTTTATTATTATTATTAAACTAAACAATTTTTTAAATTATTTACCAGAAATATAAAACAAAAGTTTAACGAATCATTTTGAAATACTATTGATAAAATACCTTTAATACGATTGTGTAATTACGACGCAATAAAACAATGCAGCGACTGTATTAATGCACAAATCATCATTCACAAAACCAATTGCAGAGTCATATGAGTTTAATATTAATTACAAGGAAACAATAGCTTTGCTTTCTGTGTATCAGTAACACAGAAACAAACAGCTTACAAATTGAAGTGACCAAAACATTCATTATGGGATAGAATTTTATCATAGTATAGATAGTATCATTGTTATAATTATATAATTTGTCTGAAAGAAACAAATAATATATGAAATAGTGGTGTTAGGCTAAATTAAACTGTTTCGGCCTAGCGGGCTATGCCTGCTGCCTTAAGGTTTCAAATCCTAGCTTCACGTTTGGATTTTTCTGCAATTCTGATGTGCGCAATTAACACTGGTTCGTACAGTGATAGAGTAAATATCACGTGGAAATTTCATATAAACCCAAATATAGATGTTTTTCAGGTAGGTGATGATTGTTATAAATGAAATAAATATCAATGAAACAGATAAAAGAAATTGCCAGTAAATGTAAAATTAGAAGCATTTAATATGTATTCTTTTTTGACGTTCATATGTGTATATTGTTTTACCTAAATGAATAAACGATTTTGACGGAAACGGGATGGAGTCTGAGGCCCATATAGGGCTTGTATCATACTTAAGACTTACAGCAACCTCTTACTTAAAGTTTTTTTATATTAACTTCCCCATATAAAAATAATATTTTTTGGCGAAACATTGGTATTATATGGCCGGCAACCTAAACACTAACAGTATGTCCATATGTCTTACCCGCTCTACGCCCTTGACTTGCGAACTGGTAGTAAATGTAAATTTGCGATTAATTTAACTTGACGATTCAAAAGTGTACTTGGTTACCCACTTGAATAAAGATATTTTGAGTTTGAGTTTGAGTTTAAGCTGCGGTAGCTGTCTTATATTGCTTTTCCCTAGGCTGGTTTGTCCCCCATCAAAAATATTTATAGTAATGTAATAAAAACACTATTTATTCGTCATCCAAAGCGATTCAGCGTCTATGCATGATACTATACACAAAATACATTTGATTAAAAAATAATATGGTGTTGCCATCATAAAAGTTAAAAATAATAAATAGTAGAAATGTTGCCCTTACAGCTAGTATAATTATTTCTGAGATTTAATTACAAAACCGTTGCCAACGGACATCTTTAAGATCGTAACTTTTTGCGTATTACGCTTTTAAAACACTTTACGTTCTGTAATTTATGACGTCAAGTATCTTTTAAACTGTTCTTTAAGATTGTCGAATAAACAATAGATACGAAATAGCTTCATTTTATTTTCGTTTGTGGTATTTTTGTGTGCCTTAATTCTACTATAAAATACCTATTTTCAGCCTTTTTTCTTTTTTCACAAATAAATTTCTACCTGCGTTTCATTGGTAATTTAAAAGAATAGAATAATAGAAACATACAATTTTTCTCCTCTTTAAAAATCCTTTACCTACCAAGACATATTGTTCAGGGGAACCGAACTCAGAACCTCCAGTTTATCTTTTTTTTATTTACAAAAACTTGCTAACGCAATGAAAAATATGCAAGTTTTAATGTGACAAGCACTAAATAGACAAACATCACGAAAATTTCATGTGCTGTAACCCTCGGATTAAATTTCCTAAAACCATAAGAAATATATATATCTATGTCTAAAAATATGCGCATGCGTTTTTAAAAACAACAAATAATTAAACTATAAAAAATTTCTAACATATTATTGAAACCCAAAACATGAATTAATTTATAATTATGAACTGAATTATTGTATTTTAGGTGGAGACGCAGCAGAAAAAGGAGGAAACTCGTGAGAAGTATTGACCGGCTTCGAAGAGCACGCGAGACTCATGTACCAGACTGTCCAGGTCTGGCGAAGCGCTATCATGAATGTAATACAGCGGTGAGTACATTGTATTTTATAAACTTAGGTTCTTTGCTTAGTTATCTGAGATATTGAGAGAGACAGAGAATGTAAAACAAAAGATGGAAGACGGAACGTTTGGGTCAACTGTCAAACGGACGTAATAACATGTAACGTGTCAACTTGTACTAGAGAGAGAGAGAGCTAGAGATGCCGTTGACCAATTACAATTGAATGGAACACACAACACTTTTATTTGTGTGTGTGTTGTTAAGTGCTTAACTAAGTATGTAAGATATGGAAGTAACAATTATAGACAATATTAAACGAAATAATTCAATAAAAATGGAAAATACATATTAGTTTTAATCTTAATAGAATATTTATAATATAAGTTTAATCTATACGAGGTACGTACTTGTACTTTAAACCATTTTCGTTAATGACAATTGATTCAGTTCCAGACATAGACATAACATTCATTACTTATAAAACACACAGAAACACACAAAATAACAATAATAAAAAATAAAAAAAAATGATAGATAACAATTTTTTTTTAGAACAAGGTACGTTTTAAGTGTGTAATGCGTGTGTGTTGTGGTTGTAATTGGCCGTGGCTCAGTATTATGCTGAGAAGCAGACTGTTCCGCAGTGCTGGTCATTCTTCCAGAGACCACAGCCGCTAGAAGCAATAAATATAAATTAATTCTTAAAACTAATGGAAATTATGCATTTCTTCTGTCATTCGCATATATAATTCATAGATATGACTGCAACTCAGAGAATATACACTTATAATATATAATTCCAGCCTTGCCCCGGGCCGGTCCGCGATTCGAGGGCTGATCAATGTGCAGTGTATGATCGGAGGCCATTCCGGGGAAGATTCTACACATGGGTCCCATATGTCGACGGTAATTAATTTTATTTATTAAAGTTCACCTCATTATATATAATGCTTTATCTACAATATATGTTAAAAGCTATGTATTCTAAAATGACAATTATGGTAAACATAAAGTTATCTAAGCTGGTTTGAAACGTTTTTTGTGGTAGTTTCTTGAAGCAATCGAAACTTAGAGTTGTAATATTGTATTGAATATTCGCGTCATATCTATTAAATAAATTTATTTAAATAATAGTTCTGGTTGGGAAGTTCTTGTAAAAATATCCTGAAATTGCAATATTAGTATTATTGTGATGGCTTTGGGTATAAATCGGTGTTAGTCAACTGTTAAGCGTGCGATTTTTAAACATAACATAACGTGGCAAAATAAACTTATTTATATGTAGGCAATTAACTAAAATTTTTTGGGTCTTAAAAATATTGACGATCGATTTGAAAAAATTCTTATCAAAATCGTTTTCTTGAATTGCGTTTAAATTGATTGGCCAGTTCTCGAGTAATTATTGTGTATTGTTTTCTCCGTTTCTGTATTTTTAAATGTTAATCATCGTTAATTATTTTCGTCAAATGTGAATAATGCGTCTCCAAATCAATAAATAAAATATCAATTTAGTTCTGCCAACCTTAAGAAATTTCAGCCACCAAATAGTTGTCAATCAATAATGTCCTCAGTGTGTGACTATCATCCCTGAGGTCGTAAGTCTCTGAAGGAAAAAATCGTGAGGAAACCGGCATGCCTTATAATTATTAGACCCAAAAAGTCAACGGCGTGTGACAGGCGCAAAATGCTGATCATCTAGTTACCTATTAGAAAAATAAATAATTACGAAACAGATACAGAAATCAGAATTATGAGGTTGTAGCGGCACTGGCTCGGTACTTTTAATCACATATTTATTCAAGCTCTATATACGAGTTTTCTCAAAATTGTATTCTATTTCAGGCAACTCACCATGTACACTTAACTGTCGTCCCCGAGGTCAACAATTCTACGCCTCCCTAGCGCTGGTCGCTGATGGTACTCCATGCACGAAACCTGGCTACAGAGCTATTTGCGTTCAAGGCGCTTGTAAGGTATGTGTTAATTATTTCAAGAGATATCTGTATTAATTAAGTTTGGCATTGGAACTTATCAGCAATCTTCAATGGGCAACTTTTTCAATTGATAAATAATATTTTTCTCTATAATGAACCTACGTTGTCTTTTGAGGACAGCGCCATCTAGTATCAAGTAGATGTACCGTTATATAATTAGCTCTAGGATGAGATTGATAAACGAAAATACGGGTTCAACAAATAATCCTATGAAAAATTTAATTTAACTTTTAATTTAATTAAAAATTAAACATTTTCATACAAACGTTAGCGTGTTAGCGTTTTGTAATTGATTTGTCAAAGACACGGCTACTGATAATACTTAAAATTACTTTTAACAAAATTATTAGAAAAATATCAATACTAATTAATCTTGTCAATAATTCATGTAATTAATTTACATTACATGTAATTTGGAAAATATATACAAATTGACAAGACCAATCATTTATTTAAATGCCCAAAAATTATAAAGACTCTCGCGTAAAAGTAAACGCGATGGACCCGAACACTCCTTGAATGGACCTCGGCAGAACAAAAGACCATCTGGACCGACGACATCACAAAACATGCAGCCTGCATATAAATGCAAAAGACCCAATGCCGGTGGAATTGGAGGAAAATAGAGGAGGTCCAAAGATGGACCAAAAAAGGGTGATGATGGTGTTATCAAATAAACAGCTACACAACCACTACTTTATAACTATACAATACTTTTGAACTATCTCTCTCTTCAGGTAGCTCATGTCTTTTGTGTTTTCATGTGTTTGGTGAACGGCCACAAGATTTTCTTTCTGTAAAACCACGATAAATTTCTCTAAGTTCTCATCGCCTCTGTGCATTGTAAGCCATCGCCATAAGTAGCAAGGAAAAAATATAATATAAATAAAAAATATAATCACAATAAGTTACATCAGAAAACCGCTGTGGTTTATATTAATGTAACCATAGCAGTCTTGTTTAGGAGCGCGACATATGCATACTTATAAAAGTGTTATTAATTAACTGTTTGATTGTAATTGGGTAGACCATTTATACGTTGTTTGCTCTAGCTGAACTTGCGTTACGGCTCGAGTCGGAACGTCATGCTTCACTCGTTTTTTATGTTCTTTCGAAAAGTGCTCGGATAGAAGGTGTTTAGTTACTTTGTTTGTATTTTGCAGCAGCGGACAATCTGTATCCACCGGTTGCTGTCCAGCGCCTCCCTTTTAACAGTGTACCGTTTTGAGGACGATGATTATTTCCAAGTGAATCAGTCCATCTGTTTGGTAAATCTCTTCTGATCTTTTGTCTCTGTGTTACCATAGTCAGTTTCTCCAAGATCACATCGCCTCTGTGTGTTTTATAGCATTTAAACGGCCTTGATTCGTTTAATAAAATGAGACAAAATCGCGGCTTTCCGCTAATTTGCTAAAGAATCCACATTCGTGTTAATAGATCCACTTTCATACAGGAAGCTGTCTATTAAATCCTCGTAATTTGTTCTACTCAGCTACTAAAACAAGTAAGACGACTGCTTTCGAGGCGCCCATAATTAAAGCACACAAATGGGTGACCGAGCTTTGCTGCGTTTTTAGCATTTTGTACTGCGAAGATTAAAAGGAGCTTTTGAGCTAGTGTTTTGCAAATGTTACTGAAAGACTTCTAAAGCTTTAATAAACGTAATAAAAAACACAAAAATTTAAAATATAATATAGCCTGGAACCCTTTGATCCGCTACCAAGTGAATCTAATAATTATACATTGTGTAACTTTGTGCAATTTTTAATTGCTATAAAACCATATATAATATATTAAATAATTAAATAAGAACTTTACCTAAACTTTCCACAGAATTAACATTATCTATTGATTAACGGTACAAAGTAGTGTTAATAGCAAACGTACAGAGACTTTATTTTAGAAAGTATAAGGAATTTGTTAATTCTAAGGATATTTGCAAAATAAATTTGCTGACTGCAAATTTATTTTGCAAAATGCATTCTATGAATTATAAAAATACAGACAAATGCAAGTGTCCATAACGAGTATCCGATAATGTATAGCTGGGGGCGCACAGGTTACTACAAACCGCTTTGTACGGCCATGGAATTTGCAACTACGAATATTATGAATGAATTGCGACTAGAAGTTACTCACTTCCTTGTTGCGTTTTATTTAAAACATAATTGTAAAGCAACCTCTTCAAATCATGTGTTAAATGACACCTGTACAAAAAGTTAGTATAATTATTAAACAATTTATAAGTCTGAAAAATTACAGCTATTTTGACCATAAATTAGCAATTCACATTTATTTAAATCTAAACCCTGTTGCAAAATAGTCTAATCTTGGACCTAACTAGGTCGTAATCTATATGTTGCTGAATGCTGTCTGTGAAAATATATGTGATATATTAGTCATATAAATCATTGTTACATTTATTAAATAATAATATCTAGAAAACTTATTATTGAAAAGAAAAACTAACCTGCCTTATTTTTCATATTGTGTCTTTACTTCTTGTGTCTACAATTTTTAAGCATAAACAATATAATAAGAGTATCAGTGATGGCCTAGTGGCTTCAGCGTGTCTCTCAATCCCTAAGATCGTAGGTCCGAACTATGGCTATGCAGCAATGGACTTTCTGTCTTCGTGCACATTTAACACGTCGTACGGTGAAGGAAAACAACCATACCTAATCCGGTAAATAGACGGCGTATGTCAGGCACAGAAGGCTGAACTGAAAGCCTATAAGAAAAATCAAATAATCTCGAAACAGATGCAGAAATATAAGGCAGAACCTAAACGGTTGTACTGCCACCGGTTTGTTTTCAAAATGAATGATTCACCGTTCTTTTTCATATCTATTATCTGGAGTTTACGTGCGTTTAAGTGTATCGTTATCGACTAAATAATCGCCAGTCGCAAATAGTATGAGCTTATAGCCACACAACGCAGCCCGCAGCGCTGATCCATCACTTGTCTTCGAGTCGGGAATTGTTAATGCTATCTGCAATTTCTTTAACCTTTCCGTATGCTTAGGATTTATTTAATGAATAGAAAATTTATTTTGCCAATAAAGAAGAAAAATATGACTTTAATCTTATCGCGACTATTAAGGTGGTCATGAAGCTTTAAAGGCTTTATGAGTATTTTGTATTACATGTTGAAATCTAAGTTTACTATGTAAATGGCCGCGGGTGAATAAAAATACCACGTTGATTTATAAACATACTTTTTTCACACACATTGGAAAGGCAAATGCAATAGAATAGAGGTCGCGGAATTTAAAAGGTTTATATATTACGCGCAGAAGCCGAAGCCGAAGCAGAAGAAGAAGGTGTATCTGTAATGACGTATTCTTAATTGAAGCGTGAAATAAATAAAGTTTGGTTTTCGACGTGATTATCCAAACAACTAATCCAATATTTATGCTGCATTTTCTTAGTATTTTCGAACAAGGAAGTGGGTAGCGGGGTGATGTCAATAACTCACTTGCCCTGCCACTGTTCAAGCTGCCTTTTTTATTTTTTGCAAATGGGCAGGAGGCTCACCTAATGTTAAGTGATACCACCGCCCATGGACACTCTCAATGCCAGACGGCTCGCGAGTGCTTTGCGATCTCGATCCCAATCCTATATCCCAATCAAAATACGGCCATTATAGCTATTCTTAATTAAAAACGGAATAACCAAACTTCTTACTCATTTCCCATCTTTAAATACATTTGATTCAATAGACAATATTATTCTACTTGTGAAAAATGTTATGTAACAAGTGTGAACTAGCATATCAACGGTATGTTGTCATTAAAAATATTTATAGCCAATAAGCGGTATAATTCATGGGTTATAATTTACGAACACATTGTAATTAAAGATCGGAAGCAGTAATTTGTAAAATAACACAATTATTTCAACACCTTCCCGTATATCAAGATTAAACTAACGCTCACCGAAGCCTGCGGCTATTACGGTAATATTTGACGGCTATTGTGGGAAATTGCGAGCAATTTTAACAAGTTATTATATATAACATTCTCCTCAAACGTGTTATTCCTGCCGCTGCCGGAACTATTGTCCTAAATACTACTGCAATATCGTTGCCAGTGAGATACTCGGCCCTGCGATTCTGTAACTCACTTTTCGAACTAACACAGGGCTGCTCTTTAGAATTTTACCTAACGAAGTGCAACAATAGAAAAGGCATCGGACGTCGAGGTAGAACACGAAATTTCACCCGTATCACCTCGACGTCCGCCGTTCCACAACTGAGCGTTTTAAGGCCGATTTTGCGCACCACCACTTTGTGTATTTCCGAAACAATTCGACTTAGGGTCCTTCAAGAAAAGAGCGTACCAATTCTTAAAAGGCCAGCAACGCACTCGCGAGCCCTCTGGCATTGAGAGTGTCCATGGTATCACTTACCATCAGGTGAGCCTCCTGCCAGTTTGCCCTCTGTTCTACAAAAAAAAAATCGTCAACGCACTTGCGAGTTCTATCAACTATTAAGCTATGTTGACGCGCGTTAACGAGCGTCAACGCGCGTTCAGATGATGAGCGCTAATGCGCGTTGCGAGAGTACTCGTCAGTCGAGTTCGGTAGAACGTAGAAAATGGACGTGGAAGAAGCTATTATTTTGTGGTTATATTATAAAGAAAAATATAGAAAAAGAAAACGTACACATTGGGTTCATCCAATTTTGAAAAATAGACCCAGTTTCTTATAAATATAATTACGAAAATTAACAAAATTACATGCGATCGTGATGAAAGCGCGCGCTCAACTGAACAGCATACGGGCATTACATTAATATCAAAGCGCGCGTCAACGCGCGATCACCTGCGTCTAGAGACTTTTTAGCGGCCTTCACACGTACAGTTCGAACCGTAGGAAACAGCCCGCGCCATTCTGATCTGCCGTCCAATCCGTCCGTGTAGACGCGACAAGCGCGTGGTGGTTTGACAGTTCGATGCGGCACATTGGTGTGTACGAACGTTTGTACAGTATTATGCGTGTACCTCGTGTGGATGACAATTATTTCAAAATGGCAGTTTGGAGCGTGGAAGCAGTGACAGGTTTTATAAGGATATATCGGCAACATCCATGTTTATGGCAAGTTAAAAATAAGTCGGCTTATACAAACCGTAATTTAAATCTTCAAATGAACGTCCAGTTGCCAGATATCTTAATGTTGCGGAAAGACGTTCTTCTGGTGTTATGCATTTTCTCATAACTGTATCTTGCTTAGTAATTCTGTGACGGATAAGTTCCAATAAGCAATAAAATTATCGCCGTCCATCCTTAGGTAATTTTTAAAATCTTCTGGATAGTTTTCTCGTATTTCTTTTAACATGGGTAAATGTCCAAATTTTCGTCTATATTTCTTAACCCATACACGTCTCCTTATTATTAAAACCAACCACAAAACCAGCTAACGCGATCACTAGACGTGTATCCGTTTCTACTGTACCGGTTAAAACTGAAAGAAAACTTTTAAAACTGGTCGACATTCCACGCGCCATTCCATACTGCGATCTAAACTCTCGAAAAGCATTTATACGTACAGTTTTATCTGCAGGAAAGCGAAATAGACAGCTTGAACCGCAGTTCAAACTGTTATTACAATTGAAGCGTAAAGTAGAAGCACAGATCAGCGCGCGGTCTAGTCTGCACAGATTTATCTGCAGATTGGTGCGCAGTTCCAGAAATGCCATTCCGAACTGCACGTGTGAAGGCCGCTTTTCTCTGAGCGCCACGTTGACGCGCGTTAACGCGCGCTCATGTTTGTATGAAAATACCACAATGTCTAGTCGCGCGATTTGAAAACGCGCGTCAAGTTTTTGCCATCTGAACATAGACTTACACTACCATTAAATACGTCAATCAAAATGTATAGAATTAATGTTAGGAAAATAGTATAGAAAGTTTAATAGCATAATCACACTATATTGAGTAAAAGGAAGTGGACGCGTAATACTAATGAATTTATATGGAATTGTGGCCTAGGTGTAATGACTAGTGGGGATGACAAATTAATCGTTTCATAATGACAGGCCGGCATTTCTTGCGAACACCAGTCCACTTCTAATGGATATCCTAGTTTATCGTACAGAAATCCTATCCTGTAGATAAGTAAGCGGTCTAATTAGTTATTAATAGAAGACCGTTGATAATAGGAATATATTATACAAGTTTATTAGTAAACATAACAATCAAATATACAGTATTTAAAATTTTCTTAACCTTTATAGTAATAATAAAAATAATTGAAGATTAATAAAAACAAATTTAAAAAGTT